TAACCAAACCTAAAGTGGACTATTGGATCCACACCCAAGTGATAACCAAAAATGCAAACCAGCATGGGACGACTACCATCGATCCGTCCCATACTACCCTCTTCCAAAGCGGTGTACCAGAAATGGGTCTACCACCCATGGCCCACCGCTTCATCACCTGGGCGCTCCTCGCCCAATCCCACTGTCGCATATATCTCCACACCCCTCGACCAGTTCCTACAATTGAAAAGTTGGAGTACGCCCGTTGACCCGACTCGACCCACTTTTCGCGCTCTCTCTCATTCTGGGCCAACCCAAACGTCGAGCCCCACGGACTCGAAGGTCGCAAGTGGGGAGATGATGCAGAAGCACCGACAGAGGAAGTAATGCCCAGGCCAAACATGGGACTCCTCGGTCGTCCAAATCCGCTCCCTCCATTCCGCTTCCAACTTCCGATTTCCCAAGAGCCAGACTTGCCGATACTACTTCCGCCGCGTTCAGTAATGGGAGAGCTAGCGGCTGTCCATGCGGATCCGGCCGTCCGGGGTGTGTACATTCCACCACCCTTTTCTTCATCGGTGATCCGGACATGGGCGTACTGTCCATCTTCTTCATCGTCCTCTTTCTCAAGATTGGAGGAATGACTGCGTGGGGATGCGTTTCTAGACATGGGAACAGACCCCTCGGATCCATGGGTAGGGTGTAGCTGCATCGGACTCGGCTTTGAACTCGTAGTCCGAACAGTCAGACCCGAACTTCCAGTGCGACCCGTGACGCGCATCTCTTCTGTTTGATCCGCTAAAAGATTTGTAGACGACGCATCTGAATAGTGGCCTTGAGAAGTGGACGTGGGTGCGGAAAGGAAGAGGAGAGGCGAGTCGTCTTTACCCCTCGCACCACTAGAAGTTGCCCACAAGTTCATCCATACGATGAGCAGAGTGGTAAGGATGATGAGTGGAAAGTAATTATGAGTGTAGATCTTCGTTTGGTCTGGCAAGAGACACAGCGCATCTGCTACCGTCGAACGCTTGGGCGTTTCCCAATCCAGCTCTTCCTTGTCAGAGTGAATCGGGTTCCACAAGCTGACGAGTTGAAATCCCGGTCGTCGGATCTTGACGTTCATCGAGAACCCCTTGATGGTCGTCTCTCTCGCCTTGTGCAACGTCACCATCTCGCCTTTCTTCCCCTCCTTTCCCTCTTCTCCACTAAGCGCAAAAGTCGAGTGTACATTATACGAATGCACATGCTCACAATAGTCGTGATCATCCGCACTAAAGATTTTCACGGGCGCCAAACTCTCCAGTACCCAGTTGGACGTGTCCTTGCCCAGCAAGTTTTGGTATCCCGAACCGGCACCCTTGGAGATTTGAGGTGTGCTGTGTTTCGAGGGTGGGTTGGTCGTGCCCCCTTCACGCAGGCGGCCACAGGAGGCCGTGTCGGGTCGTGCAAGCGGGATGTGGGAAAAGACTAGAAGCGGGAGTGGGTCCGACTGAGCGGCACGTTCTACAGGACAGAAAGAGAGGACGTTAGAATAGGTAATGTATGGGGAGGAAGGTGTTACCTTTGGAGAGACGAGCGATAAAGTC